CGACCATGTGATGGGCTCCAGTATGATCGTGATATTATGAATTATAGACTAAATGGTAGTCGAGATGCTCCAATTTCAGGAACTCCTGAAGGATATATCATTTTATACTCAGAATGTTGGGATGACAATCCAGAGAGAAGACCAAATTCTGAGCAGATTTTTAATCGATTAAGCATGATGGTTCAACAAATAGTGACTGCAGAACATCCATTTACTGATAAGTTGTCAAGCATATACCAGGAAGAATTATTTAAAGGAAGAAGCAAAACACAGATTGCTAACTCAATTGAGAACTGGCTAGCACATAATGGATGGTATCAACAACATTATCCTCCTATTAAAAGACTCAGAGATCATATTGGCTGTGAGCAGTGTTTTTGGTTACTAGGCATTTTCTATGAATATGAAATAACAGTTGGAAAGAATCTTAATGAATCAATCTACTGGTATAAACTGTCTGTAGAAAAGAATAATGTTTTTGCACAGTATAATCTTGGTTTCTGCTATGACAATGGAACTGGAGTAGAGAAGGATGCTAAGAAGGCAGTTGAATTATATCAAAAAGCAACTGAACAATGTCATGCTGTTGCACAGTACAATCTTGGTTATTGCTATGAGAATGGAATTGGAGGGGAAAAAGACTTTAAGAAAGCAATTGAATTATATCAAAAATCTGTTAAACAAGGGTATGTTATTGCACAAAATCATCTTGGTCAATACTATCAACAAGGGATTGGGGTAGAAAAGGATGCCAATAAGGCAGTTGAATTATACCAAAAAGCAGCTGAACAAGGGTATGTTACTGCACAAAATAATCTTGGTCATTGCTATCAATATGAAATTGGAATAGAGAAGGATACTAAGAAGGCAGTTGAATTCTATCAAAAAGCAGCTGAGCAAGGTCATGTTGCTGCACAAAATAATCTTGGAGAATGCTATCAATATGGAATTGGAGTAGAAAAAGATGCTGAGAAGGCAGTTGAATTCTATCAAAAAGCAGCTGAGCAAGGTCATGCTGCTGCACAAAATAATCTTGGAGAATGCTATCAACATGGAATTGGAGTAGACAAAGATGATAAGAAGGCAATTGAATTATATCGAAAAGCAGCTAAACAAGGGTATGCTGTTGCACAGAATAATCTTGGTTATTACTACCACCATGGAATTGAGGTAGAACAAGATACTGAAAAGGCAGTAAAATTATATAAAAAAGCAGCTGAGCAAGGACATGTCAATGCACAGACTCGTCTTGGTTATTGTTATCAATATGGAATTGGAACAGATAAGGATACTAAGAAGGCAGTTGAATTGCATCAAAAAGCAGCTGAGCAAGGTTATGATGTTGCACAAAATAATCTTGGTCAATACTATCAAGAAGGGATTTGGGTAGAAAAGGATGCTGAGAAGGCAGTTGAATTATATCAAAAAGCAGCTGAACAAGGGTATATTATTGCACAGAATAATCTTGGTCATTTCTATGAAAATGGAATTGGAATAGAAAAAGATGTTGAGAAAGCAGTTGAATTGTATCAGAAAGCAGCTGAACAAGGATATGCTGCTGCACAGAGTAATCTTGGTCATTGCTTTGAAAATGGGATTGGGATAGATGAAGATACTGGAAAGGCAGTTGAATTATATCAAAAAGCTGCTGAGCAAGGATATGCTGCTGCACAGACTCATCTTGGTCATTGTTTTGAAAATGGAATTGGAACAGACAAAAATACTGAAAAGGCAGTTGAATTATATCAAGAAGCTGCTGAGCAAGGATATGCTGCTGCACAGACTCATCTTGGTTATTGCTATCAAAATGGGATTGGGACAGACAAAAATACTGAAAGGGCAGTTGAATTATATCGAGAAGCTGCTGAGCAAGGATATGCTGCTGCACAGACTCATCTTGGTTATTGCTATCAAAATGGGATTGAAGTAGAAAAAGATGTTGAGAAGGCAATTGAATTATACAAAAAAGCAGCTGAGCAAGGAAATGCTGATGCACTAAATTATCTTAAAGACTTTTATAACAATAAAAAGGGTGCTAAGATAAGGAAGACTATAAAAAATTGGTTCCCATATAGGAAGCCTAAGAATTAAATTATAGCTATCAGCAGTTTTTTTGTGAGTTGGCTTGTTCCTTCACTGCATTACTGTATGTAGCATTGACTTTATTTATAAAGTAATCAACATTAGTTTTTAAATTAATTATGTTAGATGAACAATTTCGGGACATATCTTGATTATAGGAAAGCTGATATATATTCTTCCAGAAAGCCTTTTATTTGAGTATTAGATAAATAAAATGACATTACTTCTAATATGATTACTATTAAGGCAGTATTAGTTTTGTTGATATTGAATGTTAGTGTCCTTATTCAGAGTGTTGCTGAGTCTTCACTAAATTGCCCATACAACAGATTAGGCAACAAGTTCAGCATTTGCCAATAGTTAGAGATTACCCAACTGAAAAGATGAAGACATTAAAGACTATAAATGAACATTAGTTGCAGTATTTCTAATCATAAGTTTTCTGATCATAATTATTTGTCCTATAGCCTATACCACCGTAAAGTAGTTTTCTGTATTCCATTTCAGGAAAATTAGTTGTTTACATACTAAATTTCTACTATGGAATAGATATGCGCTAAATGTTGATAGCTATGACGTTGAACATAAACTTCACAATGTACACGGTCATAACATAACGCGGACTTTATGTTAAACCGTGACGTGAACACATCTTCGTAATATTAATATACTGTGTATAAATCCCGTCATTATAATCCCGTCCGTCGAAAAGCGCCAAAACTGACGATTATTGTTTGTAATACTCTCTAATTTCTGTGTAATTCCGATAGTGTCACAAGGATTTAAACTAATATAGATAATAATAAGAAATGACAGTTCGTCTAGATATATATAAGAGCGCGACTTTCCGTTAGAATTCATCATGTTCGCATCTGTTTTTTTAATGTTCCATTAACATTCCTTTCTAATAAATGAGTTTTTATACTTTGAAATACTGTATGTCAGTAATAATTTGTTCCTGGTAATTACAGGCGTAGTTATAAACCATTAATCCCATATCAATTAGGAATATCCGCCCGCCTTTTGTACCGACGTGACATTACGATTGTTATTCGCTTGAGTGGAAATGAATTTAGGTAAACCCCAACCTTAGGCTTCCGAGTTAATTCTTAACTCGAGGGCGAATAATTGTCTCTATACAAGGTCATGAGCAGTAAATCCTAATTTACAGATCACTAACTGTCGTCATATTTAACTAAAAGTCGGAGAAATCACAGCTCCGTTTGAAAATAGCTAAGTGTCAAGGTCAGCGATCGATTTCTCTCCCGTGATTGTTGACTCGACACTACCAAGCATAAGAATATGTTTACTTATAATATATTACTGTCAGTTACAAAGCAAATTTATTTATGTAAGCAAATAACGCTGATTATGGTAGTAAAGTTTCTCATTTAAATGAGTCTGTACAGTAACTAACACTGGCATTACGACATCGAGTCAGCAGTAAATTGACTTTTACAAGCACACTTATCAGTCTTCTTTTCTCAATATTACTCGTCACTGATGTGTCATCTTGGAAACTCGGCTGTTTTTACTCAGAGTTTATCTGCTACCTTTATCATAATTTGCATGTCGTACACAACTTTAAAACATTTGGCTGCACCAAAAATTAAGTTGTCGAGAATACGTGTTATTATTAGTTGCCATTATACAAAAGAACGACCGTAATAACTATAATAATAACCTAACCAGCAAAAGAAGCGGGTATCGAAGAAAGCCGTGGATAAATATACTTTTTTATGAATACCTTGAGATACTGTACATCACACTGTTTATTCTCCATAGAGTTTACTTTTAATCAGTAAAGTTTAATTACTAACCAGAGTCAGCGTACCATGTAATATATAACTTTAGTTTGTATACAAGACTACGATGTTAGAACTTCCACTATCTGTTCTGCAAATTTGAGATTTGAGTTTGGGAGAGGGAAAGAATTTGGCGGCAAAGCATGATAATAAGTCAAATATTGTTGCAGGTAATCTATTAGTCAATAACTAACACCATCTGCAGTTTCATTTCCTTGATAATGATAACACTTGCGTTTCATCCATATTGTTACAGTTACTGTATATTCAAACTTTAGCATTACCTATATACCCTTGCTTTTGCAAATAATACAGGGTTTCTGTATTGTATCGAATAATCATGTCAGTTTTCAGAATTATTTTGTCGTATAATTACAGTAGTCCGATTCGTTAAATCACATCGATGCGATGAGGTAGAGCTTGTCAATGAATAAACGGGACAGCAAGCAATCCTCAACCTTATTACTTGTTAGACTCGAAAAGTCTCCGACTGTGAACATTATTAGCATATTTTTACAGTATGTAGACTATTTCCGGTGTTAAGAACATTTGCATAAAAAAAGCGAATAATATAACTGCATAACCCTATGTGATGCCTAAAGTTAATGCGTGAAATAATCCTTCTCTTGTTCCCATATCATTGAACGTACTGTACATTGTCGCAATTGAAAATTTATACTTTTTAATAGATCCAAAGGCAGGCAAGGCATACCTTACGGATAATATTCTTCGGCGCTTACTCCATGTTCTCATTTGCTTCTCGCCTTAGTGAACATATCAGCACTAATTGTGTGATAATTGTATCACTGATCGTTCGATAGTTGGTTTACTAGGCGCAAGGAAATGGGCCTGCACTTTATTCATTAGCTAAATTAATCAATTACAATGGTATCTGTCAAATGATGATCACGGAGCCGAAGATCCGCGCCCATATTAATGTTATTAAATGGTTGGCTGCGGATGTGCTGATTAAAGCACCATATTTGGCTAGTACTGCGGAAGATCCCCCCATACATATCTGTGTGGCAAATCTTCTGTTCGAATCTGTGTCCTTCTTTTTTCGATACTTGGTTTCTGCATACATATATATACCTATATCAATATAAGGAGATTATGCCCGATTCTGGAGAGAAGAACTGGTGAGCGCTTGATAGACCTTCCATATTCTTTTATTCGCAATACTTACAAGTGTATTATCAGTATGTTTGTTCGCTGGTAGAGTTTTCTCTTACAATCTGTGTTTATCGGTTTAGGCCTCCCTTTCGTCCTGTGATTAGGCATGATATCGAAGCTGATATATTGCTGGATGAGGCTCAGGCATTAGCGAAGCGTTCATACATTATATTTCTATGTAAGATATCATTGTGTCTATTTAGGCAGTGAGGAAAGCGTTTGCCGAACGTAATGAATGCTAACTACAATCAATATATTTTGTATCTTCCGTCAGTCTACTATGTGGCACTCCTTGGCAATCTTGCAGCAATGATTGCTCAGGAAATAACATATAAGAACGTAAAATTTGGAATCGTATTAGGAATCATTTATCTTCTGATCGTGCCACCCTTGGATTTCTTCGCTCGACATTACAGCTTATATATTGGATTGAAGTAAGTGAAGGTCCCAAACTTTCTGCATTTCACAATTACATTTATCTACATATACTTACTCTTCCTTTTTACTACTTCTGCAGAAATGATAGTAAAATAAGTTTCCGCTGGTTCTTTGTCATACAAGCGTTTGATATACTCTTTGGTATATTCATCCTGGTAGGGTGGTCGTACGGAGGAGGCGGTGGAATAAATGCTCTGGTATATAGCTTTAAGGATAAGCATTACGTAGCTGGAGCATTTTCTGCGTTATGCGTGATTTTGATCTCGATTCAACTATTCTTGTCCTTCAAATTATGGGTCGACGTAAGTATAAGAAGCGAACATGTAAATACATATTTATGATTTTAGAGTTGTTGAGAAACTAAGTGACTATCTTTTCTTATTCTAGGCGTACAAGTATTTCAAAGAGAAAGGATGGAAATTGTTGCCTGGAAAGTGAGAAGACATTAGTGGTGAAGAATGAAGCCGATTATTATTAATATTTATTCACATGTCTTTGTTTGTGTCAATTTCCTTGTTTGATAAACACTACAATAAATAGCAACTGTCTCAGCTCTTAATCTTAAAATAATTATTTATCCAATTGTGCATAAAGCTTTTTGCCAACAATACTTTAAACCAACGTTTTATCCCAATTTCCTGCTATTATTATCGCCACCTTGGAGAAATACAGATCTTCCATTGTTATTGTTGATTGATCTAAGCAGGCAGAATAGCTTGCAGAACTTATTTTGCTGTAGACTATGCATTACTAAAAACAATTATTTAGCATACAAATACATGTTATAATTATAATGGGACTTCCATCATTTTAAGCATATAAGAGGTAAATAAGAGCCTGCAAAAAGTGTTTCAATTGAGGTAATTTCACAAATATCAATAAATAGAAAAAGCTCTATTACTATGGCCTACAGTGTTTCATTGATCTTGTTGTTAATGTAAGATTCTTTCTCAATTATTCATGTGTATAAGCTAGCCAAGCAACAAATAGCATCATGATATCAATAGAAGCAAGCTATCTTCTTACATTTGTATGCTTGAACTTATTTCTTACAAGCAGTCTTTCTAAATAAGCAAAAGTGTGCAGCATCACATGATGGTAACAGTGATATACTTAATATTGTTCATTTTTAGTTACAGGTGTATGATATAGATAATACAATATATTTGATACACAGAATACCTATTAAAAGAAAATAAAGCACACAAAATAATGAATTGACTTTTAAGTGGCTTCAAGGCAGATAGTAATATATGACTGTAACATGACAATAGGGTTACATTGCATATTTAACTTAGCATTAACAAAGAGTAAAACTTAAAAACTATTGAGACCATATTTTATTACATAAATGTATAGAAACTTAGAATCATCAGGCAGTTACTTATTACTGTTACATGATAATATACACCACAATTTTATTGTTGATTTACAAATAACATGTCCCCCTAACACACTCATAAACTAGAATAAGACTCAGCTGATACAAAATAAATGCTAAAAGTAAAATGCTTGCATTTCAGTAGACTATTACTGTGTAAACCAATTTTCATCATTTCCCCTAGACCCCAACTTCTAGCATGACCTTGTTTAACAGCTTTTTTATGCAATTCAGCAGCCTTTTGGACATTTCTTTCTACAACAACTCCTTTTTCACAGCAACTTCTGTGCAGCAGCATGGCCTAGTTCAACTGCTTTTTAACTGCCTTCTTAGTACCCTTTTCTACTCCAATTCCATGTTTATAACAATAACCAAGATTCTGTGCAACAGCATATCCCTGATCACCTTTTTAACATTCTGTAGCAATGCCCCAGATTTATACTGTGCAGCAGCATGGCCTAGTTCAACTGCTTTTAACTGCCTTTTCAGTATCTTTTTCTACTCCAATTCCATGCTTATAACAATGGCCAAGATTATTCAGTACAGAAACATAACCTGCTTTTTATACAATTTAAATGCCTTTTCTGCATCCTTTTCTACTCCAATTCCAAATGACCAAGAATTATACTATGTGTTACGGTCGGTTGGTCTGGGGTTTGGGAGAGCAATTAATCTGTCGCGTAGGGGTGTTCTTCCGACCGGGGGATGTTACCAGATTAGCT